CCCCAAAACCCCAAAACCCCAAAACCCCATATTTATCATATTATATTGAGATACAACAAAATCTACCATAAGCTCATTTACTGAAGAAGGGATGCTTACACTTGATTTAGGATATCCTAAAGTAGCTAAGAGATCAGAGCAGGGCTCATATCTCTCTTCCAAACAAATTCTTGATCCTTCTGTGATCAGATTGAGTCAGGATAGGTATATATCGACTTACAGGAGAAATGTGCTTACTTGTTCTCTTAGCTGTTAGTTCTCATTCATAATATATTTCAGATTTTGAGTTGTACTTAGTGAGGTTATTCGCTGTGTGCATCGTGCTCATGCCTGAGGAGGCCATTTTAGTGGTAGATAATATCTTCCATTTCTTCTCTCCTCCCATCTTGGAAGCTCTGCACTTGTGATTACTAGCCCGTGCCATTTCTTGTCCCTTTAGATTACCCTTTTATATTTCTTCAGATATGGTCCAACATTTGCTTTACTCTTATTTATAGGTTTTAGGCTATTTTTATCAGTGGTAAGGTCATTTTTGAGTGAAAATGGCTGCAATCTGGTTTTTCATAACTAACAGTGCTCATTTGGTGAATCTGGTCATTTACAGACACAAAATTGTTCCTATCTTTAGTGAAATCAGCCTTAGGAGTGAAGAGGTCTCTCTTATTTGGAGTAAAAATATTCCTTGGAGTTTCAATTCAGATATTTTGAGGTTGATTTCTTAAGGAATCAAGACTGAATTCATGCCTAGGTTTATTCTTTTCTTGACTGTTTGCTTTGATACATGTAAATCAATGTTTTCGAGTCTTTTGAATATACGTAAATTTTCCTTCTTGAGCTGCTTTGTTTAGGCATACATCCTTTGTCTCCTTGCCTTCCTACAAATCTTTAGGAATGACTTGCGGTAATTAGGTGAAACTATTCCAGTTGTTGGTTTGATTGCCTGAATCCGCATTACAAACTAATTTAAACTAAGTTAGCAAAAATATGGCATCATCGAAATTAATGAGTCTGTTTATTGGATCGAGGTATTGAATTGGAAACATATTATAAATTAAAGTCACTATTTAACAGAAGAGTTACAATCTAACTTACTTTGATGCTTTAAGCAATACTTCATGAGCCCCAAAAGATTATTAACTTCACGAATTTTAACAAGAAGATAAAACAAATTTTGAAAATTTAAAAGTATTTTTGGGTAATCGAGCTAATTGATGTAGAAGAGAATTTTAATGGTAAAAAAGAAAACAAGAATCTCATATGTAGACAAATAAGTAATTCCAGATCTCAAGAGCAAGTAAAAACCTCAAAATCAAATTTTACAACCAAAAAATACCAAATTCAAAAAATCGCCAAAATCCGTCAAAACCCTCAAATAAATCCAAATGGTCTTATCCGCATTTAAACCTCCTCATCCCTCTTTATTTCCCACTCAAGCGCACTCTACTCCTTTTGTAACCTAAGACCCCTCAATTGTTCCGTTAGAACTCAAAATTCTACTATTTTTTTCAATTTAATATCTTTCAGAGGGGTTTTGGGGTTTTGGGGTTTTGGGGTTTTGGGG